CCGGAGATATAAACAAAAAATCAATTTTTTTTGTCAACTTCAACACCCTGTAGCTCTAAAACGGTGCCGTTCCAGACCTATGTTTATAAAGCAAACACATATTATTTTAAAGAGATCTATCTGCCCTCGAAGTTTCCTGCATAAAATTCGGACCACCCTGTATAAGTAAATTCACATAAATCATTAATACCTAGTTTTCGCATCAGTACGATCACTATATTTTTTAAACGTCCCCATAAAAAAATCAGGAGGGCTGAAGTCAGGATACCGCGAAGGCCATACTACTAGGTCTCCTCTTCCAATCCACCGTATTTCTTGAACAATTAAGGGCACATCTTCAAGAAGAAATCAGATAATTTCGAAGAAATTATAGTTACTGAAAACCGCCACAAGCAACTCCTCGGATATTCAAAGAAAAACGGTGCAGGAATTGATTTCCAGATAACGTTATGAACATTATTTCCATTTCGTGTAAACGCAGTTTCATCTGTAACTAACATAACAGGTGATAATTGAGGATTTTGAACATTTTGTTGTAACATTCAAAAACCCGTAAGAAATAATCTACTCCTACTCATGCTTGATAGGGATGCATTTGAGCCTCGTGTAATATGCTCCATACTGTTCATTGGAACATTCCAAACACCTGTTGAACGATTCGACTGTACTTATACAGGGTGTCCCATTCAAACTAAATATTTTTGAAGAAAATTGATGTACAGGGTGTCCCGTTCATATTTCAAAAAAACTTGTGTGCAAGTTCCTAATGGGAAAATAATAGGGGTAGTTTATGTAAAGTTTTTTTCTTAGACGCCCTGTTTTCGAGATACAGTGTGTTGAAGTTGTTACCCTCCAAATGGTTTTGCTTAATTCTTTAAATCGGCTAAAGACGAAAATGTCAAAATTTGTATACGAGTAAACATCAACTGTGCGTTAAGAATAATGTGCAAACGGTTTCTTTCTGAAAAGCAGTGTCACCCATACAGGTAATTGGAGGGGTACAATCGAAAAAAAATATGTTAAAAGTAAAAATTTATTTACATTTCTAAACGGTTCTTAAACTCTAAAGTATACTACAAAAAAAGGTAGGTATACTTGTCGAAATTCGGTAGCTTGTACCATTTTCGAGAAAAATGAAATTGCGTAGAAGGAAGTGTGGGACAATTTTAGTATCTACTGTAGTATTTCGAGTTTGTACATTTATTTAATTGTGCAGCTGTTTTGTTCTGTATGTCTCCGAGTCTGCTTCCTAATATTTTTCTATTTTTATCACTTTATTGAAGCATTCATGTCCATCAACATTAACATCAATAATAATAAATTTAATTTTTTTTTTTAGTTAATAAAATGTTTTACATTTTAACTGTTTCATGTGATACGTAAGAAATTAAAATTATAATCTTAAATGCAAATACTGCTGGTAGCTAAATGTCTTCAGCTCATTCACATTTTAATATTTTGTTAATGTACTTGTGCCGCTTTACGTGAAAAAAAAATGCAACCTCATTTTTCTCGAAAATGGTCAAGTTTACCTTTTTTGTAGTATCCTTTACAGTTTACAGAACCGTTTAGAAATGTACTAAATTTTTGACTTTTTAACATATTTTTTCTTCGATTGTACCCCCTGAATTACCTGTATCGGTGACACTGCTTTTCGGAAAGAAACAAATTTTGGCATTTTTATCTCTAGCCGATTTAAAGATAATTAAGGAAAACCATTTTGGAAAGTAACAACTTCAACACTGTATCTCGAAAACAGGGCGTCTAAGAAAAAACTTTACATGAACTACCCCTATTATTTTCCCATGAGGAACTTGCACACAAGTTTTTTTGAAATATGAACGGGACACCCTGTACATCAATTTTCTTCCAAAATATTTAAAGTTTGCTCCTCGGCTACAATATGACGTTTACAATATCCATCTCTTCCACGATTCTTCGATTCTTTTCAAATTTTTTCTTTCACGCCATGATAAAGGTTATTGCGTTTGGCACATGTCTAGCTGAAAAACATTATGCCTACAATAGACAACCTTTCATTTTGTTTTGCTTTGCCATAAATTAAAGCAATATTCATTAATTTTGCATTGTTGTTGAACCAACAGGCCGTTTTGAGCACTTCTAAGACTCGTGTAAACAATAAACCAGGGTAATAAGAGCACTATGAAAACCACAGTAATACTGAATAAATAGGCATTTGTCAAATCAAATCTGCTGGATCTACTTGAAGCGGCGCGGGCAAAAAATTTTTATGCATTTTGTTAAATACTTCACTGACGTTAACTCTGCATGTGATGCATTTTACCAAGATATTTATAATTTATTTGACCAACATTTACCAGTCTACACTATAATATTTAAGCGTAAATTTCCAGTTTGATACACAACCGAAATCATAAACAATATAAAAGTTAAAGGCTATCATCACAATAAAAAAACAACTCGTAACAACTTTCACTTAAATGAGTTTAGACGTTTGAGACGCTTAATCAAAAATCAATTACATTTTGCTTACAATAATTATCTTGTTGACTGCCAAGCGAATATTAAAAGTGGGCCTAAAAGGTTTTGGTCCTTTGTTCAGAATAAGAAAGGGAACACGCGTATACCAAAAAATGTTTTTCTCAATGATCAGGAATTTGATGATCCTGTGCAAATTGTTGACACTTTTTCTAAATTCTTTGCTAGCGTTTTTTCCATCGAAAATGTTTAAAATCCAAATATATCATTAAATTATTATCAATTCTGCATTAACATACAACAGCTTACTGAATCTGATGTCCTTCTAGCAATCTATAAACTAAAAAACAAAATGATGTGTGGTGAGGATCAGATTCCTAGTTTTCTAGTAAAGCTCCGCTTCTTACATTATTCAATATTGCTTTATCAATTAGAGAATTTCCTGATAGGTGGAAACTTACAAGATTGTGTCCAATTTTAAAAAGCTGTAACCCTGCGGATGTAAGAAATTATCGTCCTATTGCCATATTGTCTAACATTGCAAAGGCCTTTGAGATGTGTCTGTATAAACAAATATTAGATAACTTAAAGTCGTACATATCACCAAATCAGCATGGATTTTCTCCGAATCGTTCAACTTTATCTAATCTGGCCGAGTTTGCCCAGTATACGGCGAACTATGTTGATGACAAAGGGCAAGTTGATGTCAGTTACACAGACTTCTCAAAGGCCTTTGACAAGGTTAATCATAGTACATTGCTACGTAAGTTGGAACGGTATGGTTTCAGTGGTAGCTTACTCCGCCTTTTCAATTCTTACCTATATCATCGAAAGATGTATGTCTCTTATAATGGTTTCAAGTCAAATGCTTTTAATGCGGCATCGGGAGTACCTCAAGGCTCTAACTTGGGGCCACTCCTTTTTATATTATTTGTAAATGACTTATCTCTAACATCAAAGTCAAATTATCTTATGTTTGCCGACGACTTGAAATTGTTCTTGAATATATCATCTGTGGCTGATTGTTTGTTATTGCAAGACCTTGTGCATCATGTTTATATAGGATCGGAAAGTCCCCATGGCCGTTACGTGAGAGCGATAAAGCAAGTCATAGAAATCTGTGTGATAAAGAAAGATGGCTATAATGAAGGCATCTAATAGTCACCGCCCATTTCGCCCTTTCACAAATAAGAAGTGGATCTTATCGCTCACGTAACAGCTGATAAACCATGGGAACTTTCCGACCCTGTATATGGTATACTGATAATTATTTACCTGTAAACACAAAAAAATGCAAAGTGTGTACGTTTACTCTTAAAAATCAGCCCCTCATATTTGATTATAATATAGGTATGTCACTTTTAACTCGTTTTCAGAACATTAATGATCTTGGTGTAATGTTTGACAGCAGATTGTCTTTTGCTGATCATATTAATTCAAGTATTAAATCCGCTTATAGTATGCTAGGCTTTGTTATAAGAAGTACAAAATCTTTTACCGATATAGGTGCATTGAAGAGTCTATACTATTCACTGGTACGTTCGAAACTCGAATATTGTAGCCTTATTTGGCACCCATGTTATCAAATATACAGTAACCACTTGGANCATTTTTATCTTTAGCCGATTTAAAGATAATTAAGGAAAACCATTTGGAAAATAACAACTTCAACACTGTATCTCGAAAACAGGGCGTCTAAGAAAAAACTTTACATGAACTACCCCTATTATTTTCCTATGAGGAACTTGCACACAAGTTTTTTTGAAATATGAACGGGACACCCTGTACATCAATTTTCTTCCAAAATATTTAAAGTTTGCTCCTCGGCTACAATATGACGTTTACAATATCCATCTCTTCCACGATTCTTCGATTCTTTTCAAATTTTTTCTTTCACGCCATGATAAAGGTTATTGCGTTTGGCACATGTCTAGCTGAAAAACATTATGCCTACAATAGACAACCTTTCATTTTGTTTTGCTTTGCCATAAATTAAAGCAATATTCATTAATTTTGCATTGTTGTTGAACCAACAGGCCATTTTGAGCACTTCTAAGCATGTAAACAATAAACCACGGTAATAAGAGCACTATGAAAACCGCAGTAATAAATAAGCATTTGTCGAATCAAATCAGCTGAATCTACTTGAAGCGGCGCGGGCAAAAATGTAGATGCATTTTGTTAAATACGTTACAGTTACGTAGTGTTTTTAAATATAACTTTTTTTTCGAAATTTTTAAATACTTTAGTTGTGAATGTAAACTCTAAGTAAATTTGTTAAGAGGTAGTTATCGGGAATGTTGAGTAAAATCACATAAAGTAAAATTATTTCACAAACAGTTTCGCTTCCAATATTTAGAAATTTTCCAGTATTTTTTTTAAATATTGAAAAATAATATTTCTTAATAGTGCCCATATACTTAATTTTACCAAATTCGGTCTAATGAAACAAGAAAGGCCTGAATTTTTACCAAAGAGCCATTTATTTTGATGGAAAATGCTACAAAAAGACTAAACTTTCGCAATTTGTTTTGTTTTAGGCCCCGGTTTGGTGTTTATCGTATATCCAGAAGCAATAGCCACGATGAGCGGTTCTGTCTTTTGGTCCATAATTTTCTTTCTCATGCTCATCACCCTTGGATTGGACAGTACGTTCGGTGGCCTAGAGGCGATGATTACGGCCCTCTGCGATGAATACCCGAAAGTCCTAGGGAGGCATCGCGAGACATTTGTTGCTGTTCTGCTCTTCGGTATTTACATTTGTGCCTTGCCAACAACAACTTATGTAAGTAACTGTTTGCTACACCTAGATAAGATCGCAAATCGGAATTTAATTAACTTGAATACTGAATAAAATGAAGAAATACACATTCAAATATCTCTGAAACATTCTGTTTTGTGCTAGGGTGGAGTGTACTTAGTAAACATGTTGAATGTCTACGGTCCTGGGCTGGCCATCCTCTTCGTGGTCTTTGTAGAAGCTGCGGGTGTTTGCTGGATATACGGTACGGATAATTTTGCTAGGGACATCGAGAAAATGATTGGGCACCGTCCTGGCTTATTCTGGAGGATCTGTTGGAAATACATTAGTCCTATATTTATTTTAGTAAGTATTTATAAATGTTTCATTTATGGATAGTATTCAGAAAACAACTAGAAAAATAGTTCTTTAAACAAAGGCTAGAAAAGTATTTTGTTTTAAAAAATGTAAATTAGATAGACATAGGCGTATGAATAAAAAGCTATTTATAGTCCGGTCAAATTAGTCATAAAAATAGTGGTCAAATAACGAAAATTCCAACAGAGCTAAATTTTGGTGGAGACCTTGGGTACACCATTAGAAATAAAGTGTCAAAACTCCTCATCGGTCCCATGTGTTCTAAAAAAGTTATTCGGGTCAAAGGTCGAAATTTGAGGTTTTTTGGATTTTTTTTTGAAAACGGTAAGCTTTATCCAAAAAGTAGCTTTGACAAAAATTATAGATCTTAAAATTATCTACAAAAATGGTCCTTATACTTTTTTTCTAAGAATCACCATTCCTGAGCTATCGCGATTCTAATAGTTGAAGGAGTCACGTTCTACATGTTATGCACACATTTCCACACCACCGCCCGTTGAGGTAGTGTACTTTGGCGCGTTATTTTTGACGTGGCTTCCCCGATAGGCCTACTCCACGAATTGTTATGACGGAATTTTTAGGGACAATACTCTTTTAACTGCATGATGATTTATTATTAATATTGGTTATTGACTTTAACTGTAGTTCTGATTTCTTTTGATATTTTAATCTGATTCATACTCTTCAAAGTCGACTTTAACAGTCATGTCTTCTTCGATTTCTTCTTCTTCTTCTTCTTCTTCTTCTTCTTCCTCTTCTTCTTTCTGGATGTTCATAAATTGTTCAAATGAAGATGAATCAGCCGTTTCTTCATCGAAATCACATGAATCTTCGTCTGTTCTATTCAATTGGACATTTGAGCAAGACTGGTTTTGGCAATTAGTACACGCTGGAGAACACAGTAACACTACTCTTCTACAGCCACATTTAGCACTACAACCTTTTTTGCAATTGCAAAAAAATAGTGTTTAGGAGTTTTTCCGGAGCAGCTGGGAGTAAAGTTTGAATCGATTCCAAAGTATTATTTGTTAATTTCCCCAGTCTTCTGGGTTCAGTTGATTGCCTATAGCCATGTCTGAGCTTGATAGTATACTCGATACAAGTGTTGATTAGCAGAAGCCGATTTGGGAGGAAGACAAGATAGTTGTACTTGTTTCTTGTTTCTTGTATTTTTTACAAAAGTTTTTACAATAGACTAGCCAGATGTTATTCAAGGCCATGCGGGTAGAGGGGATTGATTAAGGAACTGAGTTTCTTTTGAGTGTATATTCTCAGAATAGTATAGTTTATACATATAAGAGACACAAATAGGCATTTTTTACTTGTATTAAGTGCCTGACTATGTATATACGTGGCATATATGTGCATATCATGTAGGACGTGACTTTTTCAACTTTTAGAATCGCCATATCTCAGGAAAAATTCTTAGAAAAAAAGTATAAGGACCATTTTATAGATTTTAGATAATTTTAAGATCTATAATTTTTGTCAGAGCTACTTTTTAGATAAAACTTACCGTTTTCGAAAAAAATCCAAAAAACCTCAAATTTTGACTTTTGACCCCGAATAACTTTTTTAGCACACATGGAATCGATGGGAATTTTTGACACTTTATTTCTAATGGTGTACCCAAGGTCTCCACCAAAATTTAGCTCTATCGGAATTTTCATTATTTGAAATGTCTATTTTGACAGAACTATTAGCAGGCTTGGGATACATAAAAACAAGATATGGGTGTAGCAATCCCTATGAACGTCTAAAAGACATTAAACGAAACGTGGGCCTCGATCTACGATTCAAACCCCCAACTCCGTTTACCGCGCCGTTTTATTTATGCATCGAAGTGACAAGCTCTACAATTCTACAGGGTGTTAATGGACTTATGTTAAATATTTTTGTCTCATGTCCGTTATGTCAAAATAAGGTAAGGTGTTGAGTAAATTATAATTCTAAAATCTGACTCACCTCAACATTGCAATTTTTTTCATATAAGATGTTCGATGTACCCACCATTTGCTTGCACACAAGCTTCAGCGCGACGTATCCAATTCCAAAACTTGGAAATACGGCTATTAAATGTACTCTCGAAAAACAGCACAGCAATCACTACAACAATGTATTACAAACAGACTTTCGAATACACTCCAACTTCATAAGAAACCTACAAACTCGTAAAAAGTGTTACAGAATTTTTTGTAAGTACTCGCCGCGATAAAATACATGTATTTCAGCAGTTCCAAAACAGTTTTAAACACATTTTTAATTAACTTTTTTCTCTATGACCTTAAACTTGCGATACAAGTTTGTGACATCAGTCAACTCAGGTTTTGCTCCTTTTTCACCCCTTTAAATTTTTGAAGTAANAAACAAGATATGGGTGTAGCAATCCCTATGAACGTCTAAAAGACATTAAACGAAACGTGGGCCTCGATCTACGATTCAAACCCCCAACTCCGTTTACCGCGCAGTTTTATTTATGCATCGAAGTGACAAGCTCTACAATTCTACAGGGTGTTAATGAACTTATGTTAAATATTTTTGCCTCATGTCCGTTATGTCAAAGTGAGGTAAATACACGGATTTGTGTTGAGTAAAATGTAATTTTAAAATCTGACTAACCGCAACATTGCAAGGAGCCACCTTTTGAGAACTGCTGATTTTCATAGAAGATGTTCGATGTACCCACCACAAGCTTCAGCGCGACGTATCCAATTTGCTCGCACGCGTTGCAACATTGCCACGTCCTCTCGAATCGTAGTCCAAGCTTCGGCAATACGATGTCGCAGTTGGTCGATGTCACGAACTTCCGTGGAATACACAACACTTTTCACGTGTCCCCACAAAAAGGAGTCTAAAGGGATGAGGTCCGGGAACCGGGAGGGCCATCTAAGCAGGCTCCCGCGGCCTATCCAGCGATCGCGAAAAGTAATGTTTAGAAAGTCGCGCACTCTCCGAAAAAAGTGAGCGGGGGCTCCGTCACGCAGTAACCACATATTTTGCCGAATATTTTATGTCTTCTAATAACTCCGACAAGCGATTTTGCAAAAAAATTAGATATGAAGCACCATCTAAGTGTCTAGGCAGTTCAAAAGGTCCTATTAAAGTGTCATTAACGATACCGGCCGACATGTTCACTGAAATCTGTTGCTGAAAGGCACCGCGACGTATTTCGTGTGGATTTTCGATAGGCCAGTGGTGAGTGTTGTGGACGTTACGAACACCATTTCGACTGAAACATGCTTCATCTGTAACAAGTATTTGCGCTGTAAAATGAGGATTTCTTGCATGTTCCTGAAGCAACCATTCGCAAAAACCTCAACGTAATGGAAAATCCTCAGGAGTAAGCGCTTAAATACGTTGAATATGAAATGGGTACAACTGAGCTTCTAGTAATGTTCGTCACACAACAGGATGCGAAATATTTACTTGCTGTGCCATATTTATGGTGCTACGGTACGGATCTTCTTCGACGAGATCTAAAATCATCTTCTCGACATTTAAGATTCTTATTGGTCGCCCTGGGCCACCGTCGCGACCTCGACGCGGTTGTACTTCACCGGTATCCAAAACTCTTTGCGCTACAGTATACTTGACAAGCTCTGTGGGCATTTTCGTTTGCTTCGCCATAAATTTTGAGCATATCATAATATTCGTGATTGCTAAATAAATGCGCCATTTTCAAAAGAAAACTTGGAAATGCGGCTATTAAATGTACTCTCGAAAAACAGCACAGCAATCACTACAACAATGTATTACCAACTGACTTTCGAATACAGTCCAGCTTCATAAGAAACCTACAAACTCGTAAAAAGTGTTACAGAATTTTTTGTAAGTACTCGCCGCGATAAAATACATGTATTTCAGCAGTTCCAAAACAGTTTTAAACACATTTTTAATTAACTTTTTTCTCTATGACCTTAAACTTGCGATACAAGTTTGTGACATCAGTCAACTCAGGTTTTGCTCCTTTTTCACCCCTTTAAATTTTTGAAGTTCATTAACACCCTGTATATGATAATTTTACTGCACTAGATATTGTTAATGTCATTACATGAGATAATGTTTTGTTTCCATTTTTATTTTCAGATCATCTTCGTGTTCTCTCTGTTAAGCCACGAACAAATGTTGGGAACAGAGTACGCCTACCCCGAGTGGAGCCTACAAGTTGGGTACATACTCACAGCTTCTTCCATTGTGTGCATACCGATATATGTCATATATAAGTTCGCCATCACTCCAGGAAATCTGATGCAGGTAAGAACGAGATGAAGACTACGACTGTAAAATATACAGGGTGATTCACAACTTATCTAAAAAAATTTGGGAATAGATGCAGCATGAGAAATGGAATCAATATCGTAAAAAAAAATTTGTAAAATCCTTATAGTTTCCGAGAAAAAAATATTGAAGTTATAGTACATTAACCACTACATAGCTGGACAACTGTAGTCTCTAGCGTCATTCGTCACGTGGCCTCAGCGACTCCGAATACTGAATTCGGATTTTGCAATCGTCGTTGCGATGTTTACTTGCTATCTGTGGTGTTTACAACAGGTTTTTAGTAGTTAGTGTCAAAAATGGGTAGTTTGTGTCAAAAATAGTTTGCTTGTACTCGGAGTTGATGGATATCGTTTTAATTTATGGTGAAGCATTTGTGTTATGGTGAAACAAGACAACATTTGTGTTAGTTCGTAGAAACTGAGTACAACGGACCCAAATGTGTTTACACATTGGAGGATAAAATTTTGAAAAATTGTTGTAACATCGGGTATGTCAAATGATTTTATTATTTAAAAACACAAATTAATTTTATTAATTAATAAAGGCAAAAGCAGTTGAATTTGCTGATATAAAATAGGTGCGATAAAATTCTATTTACATATTTATTTCCTTGCGAAAGTTTTTGTCCGTTTTTATCACACCGCCATGCCGGTCGCATTGTGCGAGGTCAGGTTTTACAGTGATCCAGTTTCCAGTGCCGTGTAGAAGTGTATTTTTAAATCATTTTCGAACTGCCCTTTTTGATTTTTTCTTTACAAAATTGTATTAGTAAGGGTCCTCTGTACATCCAGAATTTTTTTTTGGATAAGTTCTGATTCATTATCATTACCATTAGCATTAAGTTATTAAGTCAAAAGTGCATAAAATTAACAGTGTGTATATAAAAATAGATCATATATCGTTTTTATCTATACACATGCATGGATGAGTAACTCTAAAAATTATGTTAAAATATATTTTGTTTATAATCATAACTACAGTATGTTGAAGTGGAAAAGAGGGAATACATTTTTATTTTTCATTTTACGAAGAACAGGCATTCTTGATTAAAATTTTTGCTTGTCTCTAAAATGCGGTTGACATGGAGAACTTTCTTCTTTTATGAACAGGGTGATCAGAATATCGGTAAATATAAAAATCGTTCAAGAATAAACTGCCTTTGTTTTTAACATTACAGAAATATGTTATAGATAGATAGATATTTATTTGACCATTCTTTACATACATTCGTACAAATGTAGTATGCCAATTTTCAGTTTAAGTTTGAACTGTAAAACAGTTGGTATTATTATAAAAAAAAGTACAATGTATAAATCCTATACACAACGTTAAAACAATTTTAACAAATATCACACAGAACATAAAATTATACAACATGTCTACATACTTTCGCATAAATTATACTCTGAACTGTAGAACCATTTCTGCTGTCATAACACATAAGTTAAATAACATAAATCCTATACAGAACTATTAATAAAAATCAACTTAATATTTAAATTACAATAAAAGGAGGGAATACATAAGAGAATAGCAGTACAAAAAGTGCACCTCAGGAGAAAATCATACAAGGAAATTATTTAATAAAAGTTAAATAATATTGGTATCTTCAAAATATTCCTTTACAGAGTAAAAAGCTTTATTTGTAATATAACTTCTTATTTTATTTTTAAATGTTATAAATTGTAACGATCTATACAGAAATAACTACACAGGAATACTTTAAATGATGAGTGCAATAACAGGCTAATTTGCTGACAAAGTATTTTATCAGGAAAAAAGTTATTAACAATTTAATCGTGGAAAAAATTTTTTTTAGTAGTTTTCTTTAAATAACTCAGCGGGATGACTTTGTAAGAAAAAATGCTTAGGACATGATTTTGTTTGTAATAAAAATAGCTACAAAATGGCGGTAGTCCGATTACGAAATTTGCAATAACAAAGCCGTGAGATTGAAAAAACGGTATAAAACGTCAATTTTTTAAAGTTGCTGTAAAAATGTCAATTATAAACAAAAGGTGATAAAACTTTCGAAAACTATAGTTCAATATATATACAATAATGACGCTAAAGCCGAAAATCAGGAGAGCAAAACTTTTTGTTCTATAAGGTGTTATACATTCATCGGCATCTGAAACTCGAAACTTTGCCAAATTTGTTCGAAGCTTTGCTGACACTTGAAATTTGGTACACACATAGTGTAAATATGCAGAAACCAAAAGCAATTTGCAAAATTCAAGTATCTTCATTTTTGCAGTTTTGGTAAGGTTTTATACGTCACCCTAGTTTTATACGTCACCGTTTTTTTAATTTTTGGACGTATATTTATGTATATTTATAAAATATTCCATTACGGTAGATTAGCCAGCATAATTACCTACAATTTAAAAAAATATATATTTTCATCGTTTAGATCCTAAGCTACTTAACATTTTGCGCCTGTTAGCCGTAGTCGTACATTATTCAACATATTAACATAAAACAAAATCGTACGTGTGGGGTAAACCTTTAACTTTTCATTTTCGAGCGCGAGCTCCGCTCTTCGGCGCTTGTATACTATTAGAAATATGCAACAGTAAATTTAAACAATTGTTTACTTAAAGTTAAAGGTTTACCCCACACGTACGATTTTGTTTTATGTTAATATGTTGAATAATGTACGACTACGGCTAACAGGCGCAAAATGTTAAGTAGCTTAGGATCTAAACGATGAAAATATATATTTTTTTAAATTGTAGGTAATTATGCTGGCTAATCTACCGTAATGGAATATTTTATAAATATACATAAATATACGTCCAAAAATTAAAAAAACGGTGACGTATAAAACTAGGGTGACGTATAAAACCTTACCAAAACTGCAAAAATGAAGATACTTGAATTTTGCAAATTGCTTTTGGTTTCTGCATATTTACACTATGTGTGTACCAAATTTCAAGTGTCAGCAAAGCTTCGAACAAATTTGGCAAAGTTTCGAGTTTCAGATGCCGATGAATGTATAACACCTTATAGAACAAAAAGTTTTGCTCTCCTGATTTTCGGCTTTAGCGTCATTATTGTATATATATTGAACTATAGTTTTCGAAAGTTTTATCACTTTTTGTTTATAATTGACATTTTTACAGCAACTTAAAAAAATTGGCGTTTTATACCGTTTTTTCAATCTCACGGCTTTGTTATTGCAAATTTGGTAATCGGACCACCGCCATTTTGTAGCTATTTTCATTACGAATAAAAGCATGTCCTAAGCATTTTTTCGTACAAAGTCATCCCGCTGAGATATTTAAAGAAAACTACTAAAAAAAATTTTTTTCACGATTAAATTGTTAATAACTTTTTTTCCTGATAAAATACTTTGTCAGCAGATTAGCCTGTTATTGTACTCATCATTTAAAGTAGACCTGTGTAGTTATTTCCGGGTTATCAAGGTTTGACACAGGCCGAACCTGTACCAACTGGACTACTAGTTATTGGGCTTAGTTTATTATACATATTTAAATTTAGGGATTTTTTTTTTCGATTTTGTTAATTTAATTTTAGGAGGTCTCAAAAAATTTGCTTTCCTTTTATTGTAACTATGAAGGTCACCTTGTACACTAAAATCTTTCCTATTACTATGTATGTTTAAAAGACTTTTTCTGATAAATAAATAAACAAGGCAAGGGCATTATACTAAATTTAAAAAAAGAGGACGATAGTGATCGCGGTGATTAGCCATGGCTAAAATACGAATAATTTTCTTTTGTTGACGAAAAACTTTTCCGGCCGCACTAGAATTACCTCACAAAACGACAGGATATGAAATGCGTGAATGAAATAAACTAAAATAGATACCACATAACATATTACTATTTACGAGCATACGTAACTGTCTAAATAAAAATATTATACTTAACAACTTTACACAGAGGTTATTTACATAATCTTTCCAGGATAAACCTGAATCAATATCCACTTCCAATACATGCAATGAACTATTATTATTATGTTTGGTTATTTTATTAGACAAAAACAATTTCTGAGTTTTTTCTGGGTGATGGTTAAATTATTTGCAGAAAACCAATTTTTTGTCATTTGCAGAAAACTAATTTTTTGTCATCTCATCAGTAACCGACACAGAGTCCATCAGGGATTCTAAACTGTCATTTGTATTAAACAGAGTTGTATCATCAGCAAAGAGAATACATTTTTTTGGCAACATAAAATGTATAAAATCATTTACATAAATTAAAAATAAAAGTGGTCCTAGTACGGAAAACTGAGGTACTCCATATCGCACTAATTGAATGCTAGAGTTACTATCATTAATTGAAACAAATTGTTTACGATTTTTTAAATATGACTTCAGTAACAGAGCTGGTAGGCCCCTTACCCCATAATATTCCAATTTTTTAATTAATATATCGTGTGAAACACAGTCGAATGCCTTGGTTAGATCACAAGCTGTTATAGTACAATGTAATCCTTCCTCAAATCATTCAACAATAAATTTCGTTAGTTTGGAGAGAGCATGGGTAGTAGAAAGGCCACTTATAAAACCAAATTGATATGCATTTAACAAAAGATTACTTTAAAAAAAACTAGTAAGTCTTTGCTTTCGAAAAATATCTAAATTTTTTCCAAAAACGGGAATGATAGAGATGGGACGATAATTATCCACTTTATTACAGTCACCTTTTTTAAACAAAGGCACCACTATAGAGGAAAGTTGCTTAGAATTGAAAATATTATAATTTCAATTTGTGTATGAATCGGCCTAGTTTGGTGGAAACGGACAGTAAAACATTTGTATTGTTCATTTTTCGAGAAAAGGCATTAAATAAAAATTATTAAATAAAGTTCTTTATTCCAATTATATTTGAATGATGGGCAAAAGACAATTTATTCTTGAACGATTTTTATATTTACCAATTTTCTGATCATCCTGTACATGCAAGATGAATGTTCTCCATGCCAACCGCATTTTAAAGACA